GCCAGGCTGTGGCAATACCCAGCTCCAGGAGGCTCATAGGAGCCAGTGCGAATGGCGCCCCTAGAGTTATGCCCCAGCAGAAGTGAGCGGAGGTGAGCGCGAGTCTCTTCTTATTTGCCCTTGTTTCCCTTCAGTGCGCATGTCCATTTCAAGTACCCTCCTGCTCAAGCTATCTGCCTTCGGAGAATGACATCAGGGTTGAAACAGTGGATTAACTGGCTTTAAGGTCTTTTTGTTTTTTGCTATGGTGGGAAAGACAACCATTCTCCTGTGCTTTGGCCTCGTGATTTCAGACTGTGATTGGTCCTGGGAGAACTTGTTCCGACAGGATGGGCAGCTCACCTCTCCTTCTGCTTCGCACTCTTAGGCAGGGTCTGCAGGTTGAACTGCAACATGTTCCGCCGATCTTTATCTCTGCGGAGGTTCCGCTGGGAATTAGGAAAAAACATCCATGTCAAAATCTTGGAGATTTGGCTCACAACAGACAGTGCTCAATGGGAGGTCATAAGCCTAAGATAGGATGCAAAATCCAAGTTGCACATTTTACTCTGTGCTGTTATTCTCCAGAATCAAAAGTCTGGGGGTTTAGTTGAGTAAGTACTTGGAATTAGCTTAGGCTTACATTCGCATATGTATTTTTTATTTAAGCAGCTTTACTGGCTTTTATTAGAGTTGCTGAATTTGCCTCTTTATGCAACAAGATGTGGTCCAACTGGACCATCTGCTTAATAAAGCCTGCAACCAAGCAATGAAGTCGGGCAGCTGGCACAGATGCACCTTGTTATCCAGCTACTGGTCAAGAGAAATCTAAACCATTTAAATGCATCCTTGGACCTAAAAAAGTTTACTTTAGTACAACTTGTCACCGAATGGCTACTTGGGGTTCACTAGAAGACCTGTGATGATACCCTTTCCTCTCATCAGTACTCACAGGTTTGCATTTTTAGCAGCAGGTTAACAGCCCTAAGATGTAATAGCCCTGAGCTAGTCAGATGCTGGCTCTTGGTTTACCTGTGCAAATCGCATCCGATTCCTCTGGTAGGCGGTCTTCTGTGTGCGTGCTGTATCCACCAGCTGGAAACTAGTTTCATCCTCCTCATGGAAATAAGCATACTGACTTCCACCACCAAACTGAGAAGAGTATTTATCTGGAGGCAAAGGTGACAGTGTGTAATCACCACTACTTATAGGCTTTACAAATACATACTAGTCAAAAGCCTTGCTATTTAAGCATGGTCTTGGGACCCTCAGCATTGGCTGGGAGCATCTTAGACATGCAGACAGCTGCACCCTGGACCCACAGAATCAGAACCAGCATTTCAACAAGACCCCCAGGGGATTCATATGTACATTCAAGTTTGAAATGCTTATGGTCTAAAGAACATAAGTCAAGACAGAGTTCTGAGGAACTCAAGGTAAGCCCATTCCACTCTTTGCCTTATTCCATAAGAATATGAGCTAAGAACTAAACCAATCTACTATATTAGGATCTTAAAATCGGGAATTTTGAAACTGGAATCCATTGACTGGCTTCACAGGTTCAGTAAATCCCAAGCAATGAGATACAAAATGGGAATATGTTCAACAGATTTGTAAAAGGATTCATAGCTCCCCAAAAGTGGGAAAAAAATTCCAGTATAATAGGTTGAACTTCTTTAATGAACAGGCTAACTTGTGGGGCTATCTGATTAGTGTTCACAGGCTAGAATATGCTCCTAACACCTGAATTATCATCAGCACTTCGTTCCCATTCTAGGGCACCTTCAGATGGAGGTTACTGGGAAGAACAATGGTTTTCCGAAGGCCCTGATCGGGCAGTCAGCAGGAGAACACTTACTCGTGTACCTCTTATCTTGGTATGTGGCACCCGTCCAGTCTGCAACCTAGTAAGAGCGACAAGGGAAGACAGAGCACACAGGTCACTTAGGCAATTCTCTGGTGACCCAGAAACCCCCCAAAGTGAGGACGCTGTGAGGAAAAAGTAGCAGGACTGGCTAACAATGCCTCTGTAAGTGCCCAGCTCGCCTATGACACTGGAAGTACCCAGAGGTTATAGCCCTTCTCAGCTGGTTGCTATAAGGAACACAGAGGTTATGCTTTAGAGAGAATAAAATCAAAAGGAACTTGGAGAGAGGAGCAGCCAGACCCCTGCCGACATGTAGTACCTTTCCTAGCCGATCTCCTTTGCTGAATGGCTGGTAGGGCATATCCCGAAATTGCTCAGGGACTGCACAGGGACCCCAGCCTGAGGGGTTGTCCTGGATCACGGGTGTCATGAACTTTGCCATCTTCTAAGACCTTAAAAATAAAAATAACCTAAGTAGCTGCATGAAGAAAGGCCTCAAAGTAAAAAAGGCCTATATGAGGTAAGATGTGAATGATAAAATTAAAAAAACAACACAAACTTGAACTCTGAAACGTTATCTACTCCTTTCATTTTTTTGTAAATAATACCGTGAACACTTATAGCTAACGAAACTGATTTACCACATATCACTGATTTTTTTCACTGTGACATCTTTGAAATGAGTTTGGGTGTCATATCTTAATTGACAGTTTTCCTTTCTTAGTGTTACATAAAATAATGGTGCTCCTTTAATGTAGTAACTTTTTTTAAAAAATGTAATAACCATATTCTGGTCCTCAGAAACACCTTCGCCATGGTATACAATATTTAACTTTCCTAAGCCTCAGTTTCTTCTTCTGTAAAGTAAAATGATCCCTGTTTTATTGACATCAGAGCATTATTGTGAAAGTCTTATAGTTAACACATATGGAAGTACCTTTACTGTAGAATGCCACACAATTACTATTCAGACCTGCAAAAATACATTTACACAGACTGCTAAGAAAAATAAGCATCCGTGAGTATATCCTAAAACTCAACTTTCTTTTCTTGTTCTCCCAATTTTCTATTGTCAATGCAAATCCATATGCAGAGCCAAACAAAATGCCTGACAGGAGGCTGAGGTCACCAGAAACCTTTGGCCATAAAAGTGGCCATACATCAAATGTTCATAAATATTATGAGTACCAGGCACTGTTCTTAGTGCTTACCACACATAAATTCATTAAATCCCCCAACGAGCTGAGGCAAGGGCCAGTATTATCCTTTTTGGAAAAGAAAACTGAGACACAGAGAAGTTAAGAAATTGCCTAAAGTCGCTATGCTAGTTGATGAAAAATTTGCACCATGGCAGTCTGGCTCTGGAGTCCATGCTCCACCTAATGCTATAGCTCCTCTGAGGAGAGTAAAAACAGGGACTCCCAAGAGATGTGTGACAGATGCCTGACAGTTCCTGTCAAAACTCCATGCCTGTATCCATTGTAATCCTCTGAAAATGTTCACAAGGTGAGTTCCCAAAGGAAAACTCATTAACAAATATTTCTGGAGGCTGGAGAGCGATCAAAGAGCACAGGATACTGAACTTAGTAAACTCTCCTCTTTGTCCCATGACAGAGAGACTAAGGTGTCTTACAGAGGCGACAGCAACAGGAGCTGGGTGACAGCAACAGAGAATGAACCTGGCAGCTCCATCTTCTAATTCTCAACTTAACTTATACTACAGGAAGAGAACTGAGGGAAGGGGTGGTGGTCAAAACAATTTATGTTCAACAAATATTTACTGAGCTCTTATTTAGTGTCAGACACCATACTAGATACGTTAACACCAGTAACTCCCCCAAACCCCACTTGAGAGGTAAAAAATTGTAGTTCAGCCAAAATGAGTTGATCTGCCCATTGTTTCAAAATAGATTTGATTTCTAGGGTTGTCTGCCGTAAGTCCAGCATTCTTCCAATCATATTCTAGCTGGACAGCGGCCTGAAAAGATCTGGGGTTTTATACCATATTTAATGACCAAACAATGATGTCTCAAAACATACTCTTAAAAATCTGCTTGTTCCGTCATAGCTCAACAAGGAAGTAGGCCCAAGGCATTCTTCCAGGGGGAGGAAGTACCAGTTTCCACACATGTAAAAGAATAGTGAGCAGAATAGAACCAGTGGGAGAAACTGAGTCCTTCAGTTAAAACGGAGTGACAGCTACATCGGCTATAGGAGCAGGATGGGGAGGCACCAACAGGGCAGTCAGAAGGGGCCTTGTTGCTGGCACGCCACCATATTGTGTAGATTACTGCTGCCGCTACAGAGCTACACCATAAATCCCTGGGGGTGGAGGGTGGGTTATGTGTTGTGTGTGTGTGTGTTTCAAATCAAAGATCAGATCTACTCCATTCCATTTCACATTTGGTCTGTAAAACTGCTCAGAGTAGAGCTGAACACTGTTCAGCTTGGCACGCCCAATATTTCACACACAGAAACGCAGACAGCCTTGGACACTTAAAAAAAAGACTCTGAGACCTCGCTGGGTTAAATGACATTATCAAATTCGCAAAGCCGGTAGCCGCTAAGAGAAGTACAGGGCCAGGGACCTCACCCACAAGGCCGTACCCCGCATCCCGCAGTACGCGGGGCCTGGGGCCCGGAAGGCGGATTCCTGCTACGCCCAGTGGAGGAACAGAGGCGGCAAGAGGGGCGTACCGGGGGTCTCTTCCGGGAGGCCTCTGAAGGCCGGGCCCCGCCCAACCCAGCTCCGGAGGTCCCTAGAATCATATAGAACACGCCGCTCACCTGCAACGCCCTCGGCCGGACCGGATGGCGAAAGATAGTCGAGGTCGGAGACCTCGCTACCAGATGCCAGCCAAGAAATCGGGAAAGGAGGAAAGATGCGCACGCAGCCACCGGCGCCGTAAACACGACCGGCGCTGTCGTAAACTGCTGTCCAGCTTTGGGTTCGGCCGCCGAACGCGAGTCGTAAAGCGGAGGCACGCCCGGAACTTTGTTACTTCGCTTTGCGAGGTCGCCTCATTAGCCTCCTAGGCGCCAAGACGCGAGAGGGTTGTTTACGGTTACGTCATGGGGTATCTGGCAACGTCCCGATCAGGTTTATTGAAACGTGGCGGCAGTGCAGTCAAAGCTGGAGGCGGGGAACGGCTGACGGCCCCTCTGTCTCCCACAATGCTTCACGGGACGCTTCAGCCACTCTGTATCCCACAATGACCCGAGGCTCCAACCCTCTCTAACTGATCACGTGGTTTGATTCTCACAGGTAGGGGCAAGTCGAGCGTCCTAGGCAGATTTTATTGTTCCTCCCTCCCCTTTTCTTTTACAGTTTCAGAAACAGGTAGAGGTGTCAAGCGACCTGCGTAGTTCAGCCTACTAGTTTAGGGAATGGCCGCCAGGGTTCGAACCACAGTTCTCAAACTGTTGTACGACGACGATTTCTGGAGCCCTAATTTGAAAAATGCAGATTCTGGGGCTCGCTTCCATAAATTTTTATTCAAGCATGTCTAAGATGGAGCCCAGGAATCTGCATTTTTATTAGCAACTGGGATTCTGAGGTGGCGACTCAGGAACCACTTTCTTTGGTGGGCAACAGTTGTCCGCAACTTCCAGCCTACAGAGTTTGTTTAGAATCTTTTTTTTTTTTTTTTTTTTTTGTGGCGGGGGTTCATATTTATACTAGATGTTCGGAATCTTATTAGGGGATTACAAAACATTGAAAGAATCTGAGGGCGTCATTTTATTCAAACCTCAGATCCTCTTCTACCCTGTTTCCTAGGTTTCTTTATCAGTCTCCCAGCATGTCTGGTTTATTGGAAAATATATCTCCTATTAGGCGGATCTGATATTTACTCTTGGCTCTGCCACTCTGTAACTGTGTAGTCTTCACATCTCTGGGCCTCAGTTTCCTCAGTTATCTGTAAATTGGAGATAATACCAAGGGGGTTAGTATAATACTGTGAGGGTAAACATAAATGTATGTGGGAATACTTAGTAATTGAACTTACCAGTTGGGTGAACTTGGACAGTTACTCAATCTCTCTAATGCTGCTTACTTATCTGTAAAATGAAAATGTTAATAGCAGCATCTTTTTCCATAAATTCTCTCCCAATCTGCTCATCTTCCAGTTTTCCTAATTTTTGTTAATGATGCCCAGTGAATGGTGCTCCGTGCAAAAACTTTTCATCATTGCTAGCTCCTTTTCCTTTTCCCACCACATTCATTCCTTCGCTAAGTTCTCTTTATTCTACTTTCAAAATATATCTTGAATGATATGAGTTTCCCCCACCATCTCCCAACCTCTTGCTTGGACTCTGTCTATTCTTGCTTCTCTAGGGTTCCTTTTCCACATGGTAGTCAAAGCAATCTGTTCTTCCCATTATATGCTTAGAGTGAAATATGAATGTCTTCTGTGGCTTGTTTGGTTCCTGGCTACCTTTCAACTTTATATCCTGCCGTTCTATACTCACTCTGCTCTAGCTACCATGTATTTTTTATGCCTCAAATACACCAACCTATTTCCATCTCAGCGGGGCCTCAGCACTTGCTGTTCCTTCCGCATGGCATACTCTTCCCCAGATTTATCCATATATCTGCTTAAGAATTATATCCCTAATGAGATCTTCTCTGACCACCATTCCTAAAACAGCAACTCCTTCCTCTGTCCCTCACTCTGCTTTGTTTCCTTCGCAGTTTTCATCATGCTCTGAAATATTTTTGTTTTCTTGTTTAGGCTCTGTCTCTGCCTCTAGAGTGTAAGCTCCATAAGGGTAGAGGCTTTGTCTGGCTTACCTAGAACAGTGCCTGGTAATACACATTTGTTGAATTGTTGAATGAATGGATAGGGATTTTGTGAGAATTAAATGAGAAAATGAATTTAGCATATTACCCTGGGCACATAAATAAGCACTCAGTGTTAGTGTAATTAATATCAGTAATAAATTGTAATATGTTTTAAAACATCAGGGGAGATGTATGTTTGTTAAATTGCTCATGTCTTGTTTTCTTTTTTCTTTCTTTTTTTTTTTGCTGTGGGTGCACAGGCCATCTGCTGCAGTGTCTCATGTCAGAGTTTAATCATCTTTTCCTGCCCACCCCAGATGGATGATGATTTGGAGAGCCCTGTCTCATTCTCAGTAGTGGGTCCCTGGGCTTGGATGGGAGATCTTGCCTCTGTTCCTCCTCCTAACTGATGCCCCTGCTGCCTCTTTCTACCTGTCTCACTGTCCATTCTCCGCATGGCGTAAACCTGGACTGACTCTCCTTTACATGAAATCAGAGCATGCCTGACCTCCCTCCCTCCCTCCCCCGCTTAAAATCTTTCAGTCGCTTTCCTTGATCCTGAAGATAAAAGCCCATTCTATTCTGTTCCATGGCCTGCAGTTTCTAAATGACAGCTTCCCACTGACAGCTTCCTCTTTCTGGGTCATACCCAGGCTCATTCCTGTCTTGAGACCTTTTCACCTGCTGTTCTCTGCTGCTTGGAAGGCGTCTCCCCTAGATCTTCGTGAGCCTGTGTCCTCAACAAGCAGGCATTTCCTGACCACCCCTCTGAGTAGCCTTGCCCTGTCCTCATTCACTCTCTCACTCGCCATGTGCCTGGTACTTTTCCAAGAACTTACGTTAACTCATTTAATTCTCACCACAGCCATGTGAGTTAGGACCTGTTAGTCTCCCCATTTTATGGATGAAGATGTGGAGGCACAGAGAGGTGTTCTAGGTTGAGCAGTACGTAGTGAAGCTGGAGTTTCAAACTCAAGAAGCAGCTGGGCCCCTGCTGCTTCTGCATGTCCCATTAGTATTTTATTGGATGACTAGCGTCTCTATTAAAATTACCTTGTTCGTTTATCTGTTTACTTATTTATTGTCTCCTTATTAGAATGCAAGCCTCGAGAGAGGTGAGCTCTTACATGGCTTGTTTACTGTTATATCCCCAGCACTTAGGATGCTGTTTTACCACATAGTTGGTGTTTGGAAAGTGTTTGCTGGATGCACAAGCGACCTCTGAGGACACATTCTCTCTTCCAGGTGTCCACAGCACTTGGCAGAGTCCTCCATTGCTGTGTTTACCACACATCTGGTTCTGTTACCAGTGTCTCACACCTCTCCTACCCTCTGCAGACTCTGGGTTCCTCCAGCCTGGGACTGCATTATTCCTAGAGGAAGCCTCCTGGCCCAGCCCAGTGCCTGGCCTACAGAGTGTGCCCAGGAAATGCTTAATGAATCCAGGGCCTTCAGATTCTGCTTTTAGAGATTGTAAAATAAAAAACTTAACATTCTTGCCAGAAAAGTGTAGGTATGAGGGCAGGTGCCCTATTCTCAAAAGGAGATGGCAGTTTCACAGTGTCCAGTTTGGAGAGGCATGGTCACTGTCTTTGGGCAATTGAATGACTAACTTCGTTATTGCTAATGTTGGCTAACATTAGTATAGCAGTTTATAAGTGACAAATTCCTCAGTTTTGTTTGAGTCTCATCACTATAATGCTTTAATGCCAATTTTACAGATGGTAAAATGAGGCTTAGAGAGGTGAATCACTGATACCAGGTCATGCAGCTAGTGAGAGGCAGAGCTGGGATTTTATTTACTCATTCGACAAACATTTATGGAGCACCGTCTATGTGCCTGGTACGGAGCAGAGTGTGGAGGATGCAGCAGGGACCAAGATGGGTGAGGGCCTTGCTCTCTAGGAAGGCACCTTTTAAATGGGGCGAGGTAGACAGTGGGCAAGGGTAGAGAGAAGTGTGAGAAGTGGGTGAAGATGCTGCAACAGGGCTACGTGTTAGAGAATGATTCGGGGTGCAGCACTTTTCAGGTGGGAGTTCAGGAAGGCATTTGTGAGGAAGGTGGCATTTGGGTAGAGACTGGAGAACGAGAGAGAGCTGGCCAGGGGCGGTCTGGCGGGAGAGTGTTCCAGCAGAGGGAACAGGCCCTTTCTGTCCCCACATGTGGCCTTCCGAGGAGGGAAGGATGAGTTCTTGGGTGCTGGGACTGGACAGGATCCTCTTATTCATTGGGTCCAGCTTTCATTCCAGACAGGCATCTCCTTGTCACCTGTCTGGCTGGTTGCTGTCGCCTCTGCTTGGCTGTGCCTAGTGCTGGGGAGATGACCCCTCTAGTCATGCTACTTTGTCCTTTTTGGTAAACATTTCTAGTTCCTTTGTCTATTTCTTGGTGTCACCTCAAGTCTCCCTTGTCCCTATTTCCCCACGCCTTCCAGTTTCTCAGAATTCTAACAGAACGGCCACTTCCAGAATCACTCTTCCCTTCTCCGGGGCCTTTCTGTTTCTTGCTTGGTTTCTACCCTCCTTTTTTCCCCTCCTTCTTAACCTCTTCCTACATGCCTTCCCTTCACACAAACACATTCTCTCTCCCTTCCCCTCTCTAGCCCCATCTGACACTCCTGTCCTCTCAGAGCCTCTCTCAGCCAGGCAGACTCACTGTGTCTGCGCTGTTGGCTTGGGCCTCTTTCTTCAGCTGACTTGCCAGCATTCTTTCTGGTGGCTGGATTTTGCCATTCCTTTCACCTCAGGGCCTCCCAACAGGCTGCTGTCCGTGCTTGGAAGACGCCTCTGTTCTTTGACTGGTTTTCAGCCTCTGGTCTAATGTACGCCTTCCCTCCCTCCCCACACCAGGCTCCCTGTGCTTCCCCTTCCTAACACTCATAGTCCCGATAATTAAATGATTATTCGTGTGCTGATTTGACCCATGGAGCACGTGAGGGGGTGGGAATACGGCCTGTATTCCCAGTTGCTAGAACAGTGCCTGACATAGAGTAGGTGCCCAGTAAGTACTTATCGATTAAGTCAATGAATAAAAGGATCAAAATTGGTATGAGATCATTCATTCAACTTGCATTACCCAGAGCCACCCCTTTGCATCAGGACCCTATTTATGTAATGAGATTCTTGTCCCAAAGAGTTTTCGGTCTAGCCGAGGGAGTGACTGCAAAAGCATTTTCTAAACCAAAAAAGGGAGATCCCTGCCAGGCCCTCCATATACATCCCCTCATGTCGTGTCTAGAAGTGAGAGGCACCAGTATTACTGTTCTCTGATCAGCCTTCTATGCTATTCTGTCTTGTCTTGTTCTTTCCAGATAAGGCAAATGCCTTTTCCAATAGGAACCTCCAATCTTTAAAGAGTTAAGTAGCATTTATTGAGTGCTTACTGTATGCCAGACACTGTGCTTGTGCTTAGAATCATCTCTGATTCTGTAAGAGTTCTCTGAGAGAGGCGCCAGCCCTCCCGTTGATGCAGGTGGGGAGAA